CTATCTCTCTGCGCCAATGGCTGGAATGCGGTGTATATTTCCATGTTCTAACGGAAGATTCGTTCAGATTTTGCTGACCGCCAGAAGCCGAAAACGGGAGGGCCTGCTGCGGGTACCTGCCCCCAGGCCACGCCAGGCCACCTCCCGTTTTTGCGAATTACTGAACCGGTAGGCCGTCGAACGCATACTTCACTGTTTTTCTTGAAGTTTCGAACTGGTCTTTGCCCAAGCTTGCAGTGGACTGTTATTCCTGCGAATTCGAAACGGTGCAGCGGTCACCCGCGGAGTTGTCTCAAAAAAAAAAGAAGATCACTCTCGCAGGCGCTAACACAGCAATGCGTTAGTGCCTGCTGCGACGTTTGGGCGTGGGGGGATCGCGTTGCCATCGTTGACGATATCAGTTGACCCCATATGCCAGAACTTGACGTTGGGGTGGCTATGGTGGCACGGTGTTAGATCAATGGGCCATTTCTAATTCCGACTGACTTCGGTGAGGAATCCCTAGCCAACCGAGGAGGGCTGAAGCTACGAAGTGAGGGCAGTCAGCGGGCAGAATCTGGATGCTGCTACAGATATGGAACTGATCAGGGCGTGGTCCCGTGGTCCTTGATACGGAAGTTTCCTGGACTTTCCTGTTCCCCTTACTTTGAGGTAAGCACCCCAGGATGGTTGGAGGGGCACATGATTGACTGCGCTGAATTATTTTTTATTTTTTTTGCAAAAAGAGCCCTTGTTTAAGCCCTCTATGCCGGCGTTGGTAAGAGAACCGTCAGAATTGAGGGCTTATCTGTCGGGCTGCTCCATCTATTGGTGGGGAACGGCACCTGCTGGAAACCGGGTCCAGCGTCCCATTGATACATCTTGCAACACAGAGACTTCCAATCGTTGTTCCCAGGGCTGTGGTCTTTTCACTTGTCAGGATGGCGCTGATTTAGACGAGCATGGTTACGCGACAAACAGACAGACGAGGTTGCTCAGTTTGGAAGCTTCGCTTCCAGAGGAACGAAGACGCTTAATTGAGGAGGAGGGACGTTTGTGACTGGTGGTTCTGTTCCTGCTCATTTTCGATAGGTTCTCTAACTTCTCTTTTGTTTTAGTTCGGGTTTCCGTTCAGTGCTGTGTCTTTTTGGATGAGCACAATGATGTTTTAGGAGATCTAGTGCTATGAAATGTTGGTACCTTCTTTGATTCTCTTCGTTTTTGTGTTCGAGTGTCTTCTTTCTTTTTGCGACCGAGTGTGATTTCGGAGTTCGCTACTGTGGCCGGCAGATGCTGGCTCTGTAAAGTTGGGGGTTTGATCGAAATTTCTCGTAGATCATAGCCATGGTGAGTTGCGAAAGCTGGGGGAAGATCGCTCTGTGAAGGCTTCATCATGGTGGGCGGTGAGCGCGCTTGTAGGGAGTGACAGTGGAACATGGGTTGTTTGTATCCTCAATCGCAAGTGGTGGGTTGGCCAATAGGGTCTGCCCTCGGGTGCGACCGTGCTGCACACTTGGCAGGGTAGTTCTCTTGGCAATGCGTTGATATGAGGAGTGTTACTCTTTGAAGGCATCATCATGGTGGGGGGTGAGCGTCCTTGCAGGGGGTGATTGCGGTATGGATGTGCGGTATGCCTTAAATCTTTAAATACATTGAGTAGTTTAATAAATACATTAAGGAGTTTAATAATTTAATAAATACGTAATTATTAATTATAATAAATAAAATAAAATAAAATCCAACTCTCCTGTAAAAAGGATACATAATAGTATGATAATACGTATTGAGAATTTGAGGTCGAATTTAGTCCCTGAGAATCCATAATTAAATTCCTAATTAAATGATTAAAATAAATAAATAGTTTCAATCAAGCAAAGCGAAGCACGGATTGCAGGACAGTCCCTCAGAAACATGAATGAGGAAAAAAAAAAGAAAAAAAAAAGGATACATAACAATGACGGAAACAGTAAGAGTGCGTCGCTTGCTAGTCGCAGGATGGCCATAACAACGATCTCCAGTTTGAAAGTCAAAAACAATTGGCTGGCTAGAGAAAGCCTGCATCACCAAATCACGATTCACAACAAAAAACTGAGCAAGTCAAATTCGAAATGTCAAATATGTGATTTACAATTTTGGAATTCAAAAGTAAGTTAAAAGTTAAATAAAGTGGAATTTTGGATTTTTTAAAATTTGTTTTGTTATTGTTTTGCTGAACAACACTTTCATGACTCGGAGTCGGGCTGCTCCATCTATTGGTGGGGAGCGGCACCTGCTGATAAGCACTCCATCCCAGCGGTGGTAAGAGAACTGTCAGAATTGAGGGCTTATCTGTCGGGCTGCTCCATCTATTGGTGGGGAGCGGCACCTGCTGGAAACTGGGTCCAGCTTCCCATTGATACATCTTTTTTTACATATCATCAGAACCAGATCACAGTGCTGGAAACTGGGTCCAGCGTCCCGTGGTGGCCTTTCTCCCCAAACCCCTCCCTCACCGTTGACCTGGCAGGGTATCAGAGGGAGCCGCTGGGGGGCACCAGTGGGTCCTTCCTAGCCCGCCAGGATCACCTGCTTCTGAGCCGCCCTCGAGCTACCTATGCAAGGGATCTTTTCCTGAGAGCCATGCTCATCCTTCCTTTTGCCAACTACTCGTGCTGAGAACCTGGCTCAGCGTCCCTTGGATTACCTAGGTCGAAGCACTGTGCTGGAAAACGGGTCCAGCGTCCCATGGCTACGTGGGGGGAGGAGGGGGTCTCAGGCTGGCCCTTGCTCGCCTTCCATCAGAGCGAGTGGGTGTGGGGGGAAGGGGTCTGGGAACTCCACTGCGGGTCTCAGCAGGATTCCGGGATCAACCACAGTCCAGTCTTGAAAAACTAATCGTAGTCCCTAGGCGCCTCCTCCCCTACGTCCCCCTGTTCCTCCTCCAAACCCAAGTGCTGGGGAGCATCGCCGGACCATGTCACATCTGCCATCCACACCCCCCTGCCGCCTCCCAGCCATTACTTGCAGAAAGTTGAAATGATCTGGCCTATGTCCCATCGTACATGAACAAAGTTCATCTTTTGTTTGGCCTCCTGCCAGTGAATTAGGACCTCAGCTTGGACCAGTTGCTTGACCGATTCTGCTGCTTCGCCTTCCTCTATCTGTGCTACTTTGAGCTCGAACATGCACCTCCGCCACCAAATCACCCACAGAACCGATCGCCTGCCCACCCGAAAGAGGTTCTCTGTCAGGGGGTCATCCGGGCAGTGCGGCCGGTATCCTGTTATCACCGCTCTCCAATCCCATGCCCACTCCTGATCTGGTACAATCTGCCGCCATATCCTGTCCCACCACCTCCACAACAGCACCGACAAAGGAACACTGCATAAAGATGTGTTCACTCGTCTCTCTCCTTTTTGGCGGTCGGTACTTCTGCAGACACCTCCGGCACCATGGTGTTGACCGCCCTTGTTGCTCTAACCTCGTGTGGTCGATCAGCCAGTCGTTAGTCGGGAGGCAACGATGGGCAATTTGCCATTGGAGGGATGAGATCTTGGCTGGCCTTAGCCTCACCTCCCGGAACCATTTGATGGGGCGGAGGAGGAGCCGATCAATGTTTCAGGTGGCGCTGCCATCTATCCTCTATCCTGTCCCGGAGCTCCCCCTTGGGCGGCAGCATTCTGTATGCCTTTTTGGCCTTCATGTCAACTAGTGCCAGTGACCGCTGTGTGGTCCCGTCCCTCCTTTCGCCCCTGGCCCACCACCACTCAGCGGGGTCCAAGGCTAGCTCTGTGATTGGCGTTATTGGTTGGAAGGCCCTCCAATCGTCTCCAATATTTGGAACTCTGATGCGGCAGACAGCGGACCTGTCCATCCATACAAAGGGTTGTCTGCTCCCTATCGAGTGGTTCTCCCTACCCAGGCTCTATCTTTCTACAAGGACCTCATTACACTCCTCCATGTGCACCAGTCCGACTCTATCCCTGTCCCCCGTAATTCCAACCCAGTCCCCTTCTTTCAGCTTCAGGCCCTTTCTGAGTATGTCGTACCATTCCAATGGAAAGTTCTCAGTCATTTGCCCCAGTGCCTCTTCTGTGTGGGGGTAGCGCAACCATCGTTTCATTATTTTCGTACTCTTCCAATCTCGGGTTTCCTCATCCCACAGGTCACCTACCTTTAGCACCCCGTGCTTGACCCCCCCCCCCCCCCCAAGGGGAGTCCGAGCTGCACCTGATCTGGCTGTGGGAGTCTTTGATCCGTTTGTTACCAAACACAGGTTGCCTGAACACCTCCTCCCATCGGTCTGGGGATGACCTATTTGGGATCGGGAGTCTGGTCTTAAGGAGGCGGACCCAAACGACATCTACCACGCCTCCGCCCCTGTATACCTGGGGTATCCTCCAATACATGTCCTCGAGCCAAACCAAAGGATCGACCTCCGGGTTGGCCAGGGGGACAAGGGCCGTGATCTGTGCCAATGCTAGGGGGCGCCAGGGGGAGTTTTGGTTTAAGATTATTAGCAAGATACACCGTAGGCTTAGGGCCTGGAACTGTGTGGCCGGGTCTATAATACCCAGCCCACCTTTATAGCCTTGGGTTGAATTAACGATTCCCATGCCACCCGACTGATCGCATGGGGGGATTCACTATCCCCTCTCCATAGGAAGACCGCTATTTGCCTCTTCAAGGCTTTAAGTCCCATCTCACTTAGCGGCCATAGGACTGAGTTGTACCATAAGGATGCCAACACCACATTATTAATAACCAGGGATCTACTGAAAATTGAGGTGTGGTGCCCGTTACCATAGGTTGGCCCAGAGGCTGTCGAGGCCAACGGCCACAAGGGCCAGGTCGGTACTGGTCCAACACTAGGACCTACTGGCGGCGCAGTTTCAAGGCGGCCACATTTAGCCGCCAATTGCAGATTCGAATCTGAACCGTTGATCGGATCAACGGTCCAGACCCGAAGGCACCGGTAGGACTGAGGCCGGCCCAACACTATATTAGCAAGGTACCAGCCTCAGTAGGGTAGGTTAGTAGTGAGAATGTTAGTCTTCAGAATTAGCGCAGCACATCAGTGTTAGCGGAGGAGCGTGGAGAGAATCAGCACAGCGGTTGAGGAGAGATTAGCGCAGCAGCAGCAGAATAGCGCAGCGGTGGGAGAACGCCAGCCTCCGGCCCAGCCCGCGGCCCAGCGCCAGCCTGCAGCGCCATAGCTGCCTCGCAAGTATCGGGAGAAAGGCCCTGCCTTTCCCCCTCTTCTCCCTCTTCTCCCTCCTCCGCTCTCTCTCTCTCTCTCTCTCTCTCTCTCTCTCTCTCTCTCTCTCTCTCTCTTCTTTCTCTCTCTCTCTCTCTCTCTCTCTCTCTCTCTCTCTCTCTCTCTCTCTCTCTCTCTCTCTCTCTCTCTCTCTCTCTCTCCKCCTACCCTCTAAGTCTAAGTCTACTCTACTGGACCACTCTGAGTACGAAGGATGGTGACGAGTTCTGATGATAGTTGAGATAGGAATGTTGAGACATCGGTTGAGGACTACTTCTGGGATTCCGACTTCATCTACATCTGGAGATGTATCTTGATACTGGGAGATTAACATCTGGGATACTGTGAGAGTCTGTATTCACAGCATTCCGGATCTGCGCTACTTATGACAATCGAGATACTATTTTTGGATCCAGGGTGCTGACCTCATCTTCCCTCTCCTCCTCCTTCCGTCTCTCCTCCTCCTTCCATTCGTCCGTGTACGATCTCAGACCCTGGCCTTTTCTTTCGTGTCCAAGGCCAGGGCTTTCACACCACTGATGCATGTTGAGAGTGTTTCGTTGCAGTCTGAGTTAGGTCAGAGTCAGTCCATGTGTATCAAGTTTTCCGCTGTATTTGTATTAACTCTGTATTATCTGGTCGGTTCTGGGAATCTGCGCCAAACTTATGACTGTGTTTCACGAGTATGCAACAACTGATGAAGATGGTGATGACGTGGCAATGTCGGCGTTGAAGATGGCGACAACGGGGATGGCGCTGCAACGTCGATGACGAAGATGATGATGACGATGAAGGCCTGGAGTGGTGGCTGCTCCACGTCAACCAGGGTGGCCGGGAGGGCGATCGACGCTGCTCCGATACCAGTGTGACGGGGCTGAGGCAGAGCAGCGAGGTCGGGGAAGAGAGAGGGAGGGAGTGAGAGCACACACACACACTCGCTCAACTCGACACGGACTCGACAACACTCGACGGACACGGACACAAAGTGGCAAAGTGGCAAAGTCGCAATCTTGGTTCCGTACACAATGTCTCAGCAAGTCACACTGGAGCACAAGCACTGAGGCCGAAAACTGCATCCCCAAACTCAGCTTGAGTCCGGTCTTAAGTACCGGACTCGAGTTGAGTCCGACGGCAAAAGTGCAATTTGCCTCGGGGCTGAACTGAAATCGAAGGTCTGAGCCTGGGCGCCAGAATGCCGGATGGCGCTAAGTACGAAATCCGAAAGTGGCAAAGGCGGGATTTGAGAACGGGCGCCAACTGCAAAGGGCGCCAACAGTCAGGAACTAGAGATCAGAAACTCCAAAAAAAAAAAAAGAATAGCAGCCTGGCGGGTGGTACTCCGCGGACCAGGGATCGAACCCTGGCTGAGTCCGTAACACCTCCCCTTCTCAGAGTCAGAGGAAGAGCAAAGGGAGGTGGCACACGATGGAGTCTGTGGAAGACTCTGCAGGCTTTGACCAGAGAGGATTGACTCCCTCAGCTAGTCAAGGTGCAAGAGGCTTCCTGGACCAGGCTATTCTGACTTTGGCTCAGGAACTGGTAAGCGCAATGAAGGGCGCAAATCAGCTTCAGAGACAAAGGTCCCCCTCTCCTATGGGGTCTGGCAAACGCCCCTGTGGACCTCAGAAGCAAAATCTGCCCAAGTTTGCCAACTGTCCAGCTAATCCCATGGATCCTTCCTCTCTCCCATGGAGGGACTTGCGTATCCCAGACGGGCTATGGCAAAAGAGGAAGGATGCCGGTGTCTGCCTCAGATGTGCTGGGCAACACTTTGTCAAGTATTGCCCTTCATGGGGCAACCACTACGCTGTAACCTGAC